TTGACCTGTTTGGGCTTGATTAATTTTTTATTTACTAATCAAACAGAGATAAGATAGTTCTACTTGGATACAAATTAATAAAAGCGTTATTTATTAGGGACTTTTGCCATCATTGGGATGATCATCTTTGGACGGGTCGTGTTGTTCTTTTGGGAAATAAGATGAGGCCCTATCCTCTAAGAAGGACCTGAGACTCCTCACGGGCTGTGACGTGCTGGAGGTCCTCCTGAGGTTATTTGTGGTCAGGACGATGCTCAGCCGCTGAGACTTCATGTTTCTCCGCCCTCCCATGGACTCCTGCCCCAGGGCTGCTAGCCAGTCAAAGAGTCTCTGAAAGTTCACGGTCTATACAGACCCAGAACCGTGTCACTAAGCGAGTGACAGAGCATTTGTCATGAGATCATGAGATCTCAGCGGAGATCCGTCTTATTGGGTAATCTGAAAATGTGCAGGTTGGTGCCAAAATCAGACGTCTGAAATGAAAAACGTCGTGACTGCGGCAGAATTGACCTCCTGAGGAGCAGCAGGTGCCGCATGCTCTAGTCCTCGGAGGGCAGGTGGAGACACACGGGTACCATTCACACAAGGGGCTGGTCATCGGAACCCCACAGAACGTTCCCCGAAGCAAGTCCAAGCCTGGAGGTGGCACCTCACCTCCACGAGCGTGGCAGTAATTAAAGGCAAGCGAAACAACAGGTTGAGGACGTGGAACACCTGCAACTCTCATCCATTGTTGGTGGGATTGGAACATGATGCAGCCACTGGAGGTTCCCAGACAGACAGACAGACAGAGGGCTGACTGCTGATTAATAGATAGATGAGCATAGACTTGCCATCAGTGGTGCAGCCATTGGTGGTTCCTAGATAGACAGACAGCTAGAGATTGCTAGACAGATAGAGCATAGAATTACTTTGAGACTCGGCAGTTCCACTCTTCAGCATATACCCCAAAGAGTTGAAATCGGACTATACTTGGACACCAACTTCCATGACAGCATATCCTTAGTAGCCAAAAGATGGAAGCAACCTCGGTGTTGTAGATGGCAAAATGTGAACCAAAAACCCAAGCAAACTCAATTCCAACTCATGGCAATGCTATAAGACAAGGTAGAACTATCCCTTTGGGTTTCCAAGACTGTAAAGGTTGACAGGAGTGGAACTGATGACCTTGCAGTTAGCAACCCAATGCATACCACTATGCTACAGGGCCGCACAATGCCTGCACTGGAACGTTGTCCGGGCATAAAGGAAAACGAAGTCCATCCTGATGCATTCCACAGCACGGGCACACCTTGAAAACGCTATACCGAGTTCAGTCAGTCAGACACAAGAGGACGGCTCTTTCATGGTCCCACTTCTATGAGGGAACTTCAAAAAACTCATTGAGAAAGTTAATGACCTAGTCCAGTTTCCCTCTCGCTTTCTGAAGCCCCTTCATATGTAGGTAGCTATGAGCCAGAATCAACCTGGTGACCACGAGAGGTTTAGAATAGGCAGGTGAATGGCAGTGAACGCTGCTTAGTGATACAAGGGCAGGAGGGAGGGAAAGGGGGCACTCATAGGCAGAGACACTGAGCTCTTTGTTAAGGGAAACGGAAAAGTTCGGAAGTGGGTAATGGCGATGGTTGCAGAGCATAAAATTTAACATGTAAGGGGAGGGAGGTGGTCCTCCTATCATAGGACAGAAGATGGACCAATAAATGCAAGGACAACGGCAGGACCGTTGCCTGAGGAGTCAGTGTAGGAGCCCAGGGACAGTCAGAGGACCGCACTGGGCCCTGGCGCTGCAGCTGGATAGGTGTGGGCAAAAGATTGTTTCCCTGGGTAGGTGATGCTGAGCCCTAGAGGAGGAAGGTAGAGCGTAGGAGTGGGCGAGAAGAAAGGGGTACCATGCCTGAAGGGTTCCTTAAGAGACTTCTAGCAGCAAGTCTTCATTGCAATGAAAATCCTCATTTTGGATTGTTCTTAAGACAGCAATCAGAGGGGCCGCTGCCTGATTTTATAAATAAAGTTTTAATGGAAAACATCCCTGCCCATATACTGCCTGGGATGGATTTTGCACAACAGCGTCAAGGTGGAGCCTTTTGGACAGAGACTTATGGCCCCCAAAGCCTGAACTATTTTCTGTTTGCTGTGGTCAAGGTACCAGTGCATAAGCGTGCCACACTAAAGTATCCTCAGAGCTGGGGGAAAGAGAGCTGCCGTATTCTTACATGAAAGATGTGTGAACTTTAAGCATCATGCATTTCAATTGCTAGATGGCTCTGCCTCGGATGCCTGATAGAAAGTTTGATTTTATAATATAGTTGTCTTTCACAAGACTAGATCAAGTGTTCAGGGCTTTCCCAATTTCAGCTTATCAATAGAAGTGATTTTCAAGAGGCAGATGCCTCTTGAAATCCTCCTTGGCACCAGCCCCAGCAGCCACTGGAGCCATTTAAACACCCTGCCAAGGGTCTTGTCATCTAGGGGTGCCATTTCTCATTAGAGAAAACACAGGAACAAAGAATGGTGATGGTTTCCAATGATTTCTGGGAAATATATCAGGTCCCAAAAGAGAAGGACATAGGTTTAGGATTGTCCTGATTTATTTATTTATGTATTTATTTATCTATCTTTCATCTATCTATCTATCTATCTATCTATCTATCTATCTATCTATCTATCTATCTATCTATCTATCTATTTTTTTGGTCTTTGTCACGCTTAGGTTTTATTATCCACTGCCATCGCAGATATGGGCATATGGAGATGAAGGTTCAAACATACACCCTCCCTTCCCACCCTCCTCTCCGCGCAGGCCCTCTCCTTTGTGAAGAGAGGTGATGGATGGATGGACGAGACAGAGACAGAAAGACAGAAACAGAGAGAGACAGACAGACAGACACAGAGAGGCAGAGACAGACAGAGAGAAAGAAACAGAGAGACCTCACGCAGGAGGGCCTTCTGTAGGCTCTCAGAGGAAAGGATCGGACTGACGGAGTCGGATTGTCCTGATTTATAACTACAACGATCGCTTGTAAATAGGTCTGATCATATCAAGACTTTTCTTAAAACCTTTCAGTGCTCCACCCTGCCCTTACGTGAAGCTCCAAGACCTGTTTGCCTACTGTCTTTGTCTCCTCTCTGACCCCTCCATATCTCACACGTCTTCATTCAAGGAGTCTAAAGGACTCCTGCCTGGAGAGTGGCCATAGTTCTTTGATGCCCTTCTCCTCTCCCCTGGCACACCCCCACGTGGTCTTCACAGCTCATATATGGGATGTCTCTGGGTCCAAGAAGTCTTTGGCCCTCAGAGCCTGCATTTGACCTGTGGCCACCCTAACATAATGTGTGTGTGATACCAGTTCCGTCGTTCCTGAATGGTCCATTGTCCACCACTGGCGTGTTGACGACACCCTTTTCATTTGTCCTTTGCCAGTACGAAGAATAGAAACACACTAGATTCTCCCTCATATGAAAGGAGTTTGCTGTCCGGAAATGTGCAAAACCACCGGAGACCCTTCTTACAGAACCAGGTCTGTAAGAAGCTATTCCTCTTGGAAACAGAATGAGAGTTTCTCAGGTCGGAGCAGATCTGCCTGGATGAGAGAGCTCTGCATTTCTGATCCAGGGCTTCAGCTCGCCTACGGAAAATGCCCCCAAGACCAGTAAATAAATCCTCTCTTGCTCCTGTTTGTTTGGCTTCTCAATTGCAAATTTGGAGCAGGGACCAGTGTCACAGTTCTCTGGCTCTCCTTGGGTACGATCGCCAGCTCCAGCCCTCTCAGGTGCTCAGAGCTAGTGGGGCTCCATTGATCACAGCAGCTGGCTACCAGGAAACAGGCCTCCTCTCCCGGCTTCTCTGCTCATACGGATGCTAGGGTGTGTTTTATAAACCTGCCATGTTCTGTCTTTTACAGATATCATTAATGGAGCTCAAGAGAAATGTGTACTGCCTCCTATGGATGGCTACCCCCACTGCGAAGGGAAAATTAAGGTAAGGCAGAGGTGTGCCTGCTCTGCCCCCTCGGCTGGCCCCTCTTTCCTTCTTTCCTCCCCTGCCCAGCTCAGATGGATGAGTGGGATGCCGGCTGGAGACCCTGGCAAGGACACTCCTGTGCGGTTAGTCAGACAACAGGTCTGAGTGGTCAGACTGAAGGAGCCAGGGCCTATTCAAGCCCCAGCAGTGCCTCAGAAATCTCCCTGCTCTCTGACCCTGAAGATCTTTCCAGAACCCAGGACAAAGGACTGCTCTTAGGCAGTGCCCTAACTTCCTTCTCCCCAGACTGAGGTCTCTGATTGTGGCTTAAATGTCACATTTGCATTTGGGGTTGAGAACCCAGAAGCTCTCAGCCAGTCATTCTTCTCTTAAAAACTTTTTAAAAAATGCTATTTAAATACATAGTCTGCACCTCAGGAGTCCACTCGCTGCTGGGTGATTTTCAAAGAAAAGTTCCAGCCCTGATGGGCAGTTCCAAACCCGAGGGCCATTTCCCATGTCTTCTGCAACACAGAGGCTGTGAATTTACGACCATCCCGCATTCAGTGCTCTGTACCAGGCGCTGTACAAAGGGTCCATGGAGCTGCATCCAAGCACCCTAGCTAGCTGCCAGGGAGTCATACCCACCTCAGTGGGCCCCAGTGAGGCTCTGATGTTTTTGAAGCGGAATGTCGGGTTTTTCTTCCCACGTGCCTCTGGGTGGGTTTGAACTGCCAACCTTTTGCTTAAATAGCACCCAACCATTTCATACCAGGGTCCCATTAGGCACTAGCTTGTAATAAAACTCTCCTCCCCACTGGGTCTCCCAGACGTGTTCCCTGTACTGCCTAGGACCTCTCCCCAGGGGCAGCTCCAGCCAATGTCTGCCTGTGAAGCCTCCATGTGGGAGCTGAACAGTGTTCAGGTAGCTCTTAGCTCTTGTTCAGGCCACGGAAGGAGCCATTCACGCCAGCCTGGGTCTCTCTACTCGGGCCCCTTAGCACATGTGCAGGATCCCCGAGGCAGGGCTGCTAAGAGAGGTTTCTGCCTGGCTCTTGTTTCAGTGGATGCAGGACATGTGGCGCTCGGATCCCTGCTACGCAGACTACGGAGTGGACGGCTCCACCTGCTCCTTCTTTATTTACCTCAGTGAGGTGAGTCCCTTTGGAGGGGCTTGGGGTCCCTGTGTGTCCTCTGTTTTGTGCCGTCCTCTGGGAGCCCCGAGTGGAATTTGAAAAGGCTTAAAGTATACTTTTACAGGAAGGGCTAATGATTTCCTTCTTCATAACTCTCTGCTCACCGGAAGACTCCTCTACCCCACCCCTGAGGGAAAATGGCCCCAGTTGGCTTTTTTTTTTGGTAATCATTTTATTGGGGGCTCTTACAACTCTTATCACAATCTATACATCCATCCATTGTGTCAAGCA